ATCATTTAAATAAGTGGTCCTCCTAACTGTCAATCATTCTGGTTATATGTTTACGTAAGGCCGTCCTACGTGTTTATTCCGTTAGGTATGTTTTCTGCGCATGCACACTTTCAGGCGTATATTTGGGAAGGGCTACAGTTTCAGACAGTCAACGAAGCTCACCTTTCTCACCGCGGTTCTTTGAAAATGGCCGAGGGTCATTAGAGAAAAAGTGTCTATGAAGTGTTTGAGAAGAAAAAAAAAAGGCCTCAGAAGAGGCAGATATATCCAGGAATGCTCTGCGTGGAGAGAAATATGGGATTTGCAGTCACAGCAGCCCGCTATCACTATAGGCTGTTTCTAACCGACCGCAGCGACTAATAACAAAGATAGCGCAGGCACCACGCAGTGGAGGAGGAGGAGTTACGTGACCAATGGGGATCATCTGTCAGAATGGTCAGTAACTGACTTCAATATAAAGTCCCCACTCTATATAGTTATTGAGAGATTTAGGGGTTAGGGCGGACGTTTGGGCACAGTAAGCTTGTGTGAGCGTTACAAACAGCAACTTTTAAAAAGAGAATGCACAAGGAGAAATTGGCTCATGCTTGTTCTCACATCCGTTTAATTCTCTCTCTTGGGAGTTGTGCATGTGCATTTTTTAGTCTTTTAAAAAATTCGCAAAAATCCTCCTCAATACCTTTAATGTTTAAGATACGATTGGGACACAGTGAAAAAACACACCATCACCTACCTGAAAGTGATACAGTATAAATGTAGTTTTGTATATTTTATTATTTAATGATATTTGGTGCAGTTGTTACATAAATATTTAAAAACTGAAAACAGTTTTGGACACCAGCAACTTGTATTTTCTTTTATTGTGAAGGCATACGAAATTAGTTTGCTGTTGAAAACATGGTAGTGTAAAATAGAAAACCGTGCAAGTCAAAAATGTCCTATTCCTCAAATAAAACTGACAAGAGGTACAGATCCAATCTCATACCTGGTCAGTGTGAAACAGAGAATGTATTTTGCCAATATCCTGTAAATATTTTAGATAAAGGAGCCATAAAAAGATTATATAGGGTGTTTGATTATATAGGTTGACTAAGATTGGTTGGGCTGAAAATGGCATATTTGCTGTTCTATGCACCCTAACGCAAGCCTGGTTAAAGCCCTAGAATGAAACTACAGGTTTTCTTCCTTTTAGTGTATGCTCATTAATATTTAAATGAGCTGTGCGCTGATTGGTTGGTTTTCAATGAGCGAAGCTGCTGAGCAAAGATGCATCATAGCAACAAGCACTCACTTACTGAAACATCGAAATTGTTGATATAGTAGGGTGACCAGACGTCCTCTTTTTCCCGGACATGCCCTACTTTTCATAGCTAAAAAATTACCAGGGGGAATTTCAAATTCGTACAGGATTTTGGTCGACTACAGTGCAGCAAGTAGTCGAGACACACCGGGCACTCGAACTTAGCCGTCAGCTCCGGGGCTAGTCTGGGAACCCCGGCGGACAGGGGCAGGGAGCCAGCGGGGGATGAAGTGCACAAACCCAACCTGGTGACGGCAGCCTGGACGCCAGCGGCCCCGTGCTTCCCCCCGCTTGCCTAACCGGCCCCCAGCCCCCCTCCTCCGGCTGAGGACAGGCGGCTCATGGCTCTCTGCTGAGGTCCGGTCCAGTCAGCAGCCCAACAGTCAACACTTCATACCCCCCCGCCCAGGAGCATGACAAAAGTACAGGCCACAACCAAATAAGGCAACATCCCCGAGTTTACTTCAACTCGGGGCTTCATTTGGATTTGCCTGTTTTATGGTGGAAGTTTAGAATTGTGAGATTTGCAGAGAAAGGAGGTGTCGACGAGGTTTGAACTTCTCTGTACGTCCATTTCATCCACTGAACTATTGTTATTCATCTATAAAAATTTAAATTCAGTTTTGCATTCTATGGCCCCTTTAAAATATGTATTTTCATCCAAAAGACTCAGAATATAAAGTACACTGTGAATGCCAGTAAATTATTAGATTGTTTTCCTTCTGTCTACAATGTTTACTGCTCTTGGCTGACTGATAAGCTGCTAGGAGTCATATTTGCTGCACTGCAGACTTTGTATACTTCCCTGAGACTGGTGTTAGTTGAATAATAATACAAAGTCACCTACATTTTTTCACAAGGCATTATTTCCTTTTTCTGTTGTCATTTAGATATAAGATCACATCTAATCGTACAATATTGTATTGCATTTTAGTATACACTGCCCAAATAAATGGAACATGTAAACAACACAATATAACTTCAATCAAATCAAACTTCTGTCAAATCAAACTGTGCACTTAGGAAGCAACTCTGATTGCCATTCGATTACACATGCTGTTGTGTAAATGGAATAGACAACGGATGGAAATTATCAGCAATTAACAAGACACTATCAATAAAGGAGTGGTTCTGCAGATGGGGACCACATAATTCTTAGTACCTTTTTGCTTTCTGGCTGATGTTTTGGTCACCTTTGAATGTTGGTGATGCCTCACACTTGTGGTAGCATGAGACAGACTCTACAACCCACACAAGTGGCTCAGATGGTGAAACTCATCCATGATGGAACATCAATGCGTGCTCTGGCAAGAAGGTTTGCTGTGTCAGTCAGCATAGTGTTCAAAGGCTGGAGGCGCTACCAGGAGACAGGCCAGTACATTAGGAGAGGTATAGGAGATCGTAGGAGGGCAACAACCCAGCAGCAGGACCACTACCTCCGCCTTTGAGAAAAGAGGAACAGGAGGAGCAGCCAGAGCCCTTGAACATGACCACCAGCAGACCACAAATGTATATGTGTCTGCAGAAATGGTTAAAAACTGACTTCTGAAGGATAGTATGAGGGCCCGACATCCGCAGATGAGGATTGTGCTCATAGCCCATCACCATCCAGGATGCCTAGAATTTGCCAGAGAACAATAGGATTGGCAAATTCACCAATGGCACACTATGCTCTTCACAGATGAATGTAGGTTTACACTGAGCACATGTGACAGACGTGACAGTCTTAAGACACTGTAGAGAGTGATCTGCTCCCTGCAACATCCTTCACAATAACCGGTTTGGCAGCGGGGGGTAATGGTGTGGGGCCGCATTTCTTTGCAGGGCCGCACACCCCTCCATGTGCTCAACAGAGGTAGCATTACTATTTTGTGGGACTTTCTTTTCAGCACATTCAGCTTTTTACAGAACAAAGTATTTAATGAGAATATTTTATTCATTTAGATCTAGGATGTGTTATTTGAGTTTTCCTTTTTGAGCAGTGCATAATATTTTATAAATGTTCACATTATATATTATAATATTTCCTTAAATAAACGATACATTAGACTCAATTTTGGTTGTGGACATCACTGAGTCAGATGGTTAACAGCATATTCAGATGTGGATGATATTATTGTGCATTTAACCATATTAAGATGAAGTTGGTTGGTACTGAATTATATAACAATGAATCATACGTATTGTATTATATTGTGTTTTTTTCTTTTTCATTAAATCAAAACGATTTGGAGTGAATTATATTAATTGTACTAGATGATTAACAGTGTATAAAGATACTTAACACTCAGTTATGCTTGAGCCATGTCCTTTTCCATGCAGAACATGAGCTTCTGTAGCCTAATAGTCCTTGGGGCTTTTCCACTTGTGCCTAATATTCTGGCCATCTCCATCAGGTACAGTACAGATCACAAGCTTACAACATCCCCCTGCAACACCTTTTCAACTTTTCAAAGCCCTGTTGTGTCATCCAAGAGTGACAGTAATTTCTTCCCAAAGGATTCTCACAGTCGGTTGATTGTGGTGACATCTATGAGCTAAATTGGCCAAGTCCCTCTTGAAAACGATATTTTAATCTTAATGAGTTTTTTTGTTTGTTTGTTTTTTTAACCTGGTTTAATAAAATCACATAACATATCAAATCATATGATTAAGTATGGTGTCATTTCTTTAGTGTAATCAGTGATTTAGTTTGGTTGGGGTCCTTAAGGTGTTATAGGTAGCATTGTATTTAGACTCCTAATGTATTGTATCAACGACAAAGAGAAACCCACCTCCTCCAACATCGTAGTGTAAAACACTAAACAGACAAAGTTCCTTCCCATCCTAAAACAAAAAAAAAATAAAAGTCCCATTACACAAGAACTGGCCAACAATGACTGATACCAAGGCCAGTCACAACTCACTCCTACACATCTCACATTGTTGTGAAAATGAAGTCAAACAACCAATGAAGGTCATTTGCATTCTTACATCGTACAGTTTAATTGGCTTCACTTCCACAGTATAGTTTGATTCATACATTAAAACACAGACAGTAAACTATGGCTGTTGTAGCAACAGAATGCACTCCTCACCTTGCAGAATCCAATCAGCTTAGGACAACAGACGCATAAATATGTGTCAACACTGTAATTAAACAGAACAGAATTAATTTAGCAAAGAACAGTTTTGTTGAAAAAGACAAAACAATTTAAAAGGAGAATGAAACAAGATAATAGAGTAATTCCTCTTTCCTTCATTATGTCAATTCTAAAAAAAAACACCCAATTACTCTGAATAAAAACACATGAAACATTAGATGACTAAATTAATTTGGCCGTCCCAAGGCATTTCAGGGTAGTTACTGTTTTTTTCCAGAGAATTTTGTTAGAGTAAAAAAATATTCACCAGAAAGAGGATCTGCATTTGGACAAACTGCAATAACAAAATGACCTGCTGTCTTAACTGGGACAAATTAAAGGGTACTGCAACTGAAAAAAAATGCAACAAGAAAAGATTGTGAGAAAAAAACTTTCAACTAATTTATTTTCATGTCATTATTTTTCATAATGACATGAAAAACACATTACCTGTAATAATACACCATTTCTTTTATCCAAATATATTTTTATTTGTTCATTTATTTATTTCTTCTTTAGTCCACAGGAAACAAAATCTCAACCTCTAAATCTGCTTTCCTTCAATTTCTCTTTTCCAGACCACCAAGGCGGTGAACAAAGGAGATTTCCCGCTGGCCAACATCGCCTCCCGGAGGGCTTTGTTCCTTGCTGCCCTCGCCATCACTATAGGCACCGGTGTTTATGTAGGCGTGGTGGTAGCTCTCATTGCCTACCTCTCTAAACCAGGACACATATAGCAGAAGCACCCTCCTTTTCTCTATCTCCTGGGAGCCTGGAAGGAGAACAAACCCCCTTTGGGAGGCAGAGTTGAAACTTGCAGACTTTAAGGAAACTTTTATGGGGATGTAAAGTTTTTTTCCCCTTTTCCCCATCCACCTCTCCTGCCCTTTCTTCCAAAATACCCTCTGGTAGCCAAGATTAGCCACAGTGACTGGAGACGGGTCAAGGTTGAGGACAAGAAAAGGGAGACAGGAGAAAGAAACCGGACTGACTCCAAGAATGTAATGGATTAACTTCAAATAAGGCGAATTTGCATTTGATGGACTTTTTGTTGGCTTGATCAATCTTTGACTGAATTTCACCTCCAAAGTCTCCTAAACTGATCTGTGAAGAGAGAAAAGAACAAAATAATTAAGTGAAATCACTTAACTGACTATAAACGTTAAAATGATGTGTAAAATATCACCTCTCTATGAATTACAACTAATATTGTGTCCCAGCTTCTCTTAACAGTTTTCATTCTGTTGTGCCAGTTGTGATCTTTGAATCACCATTCAAGCAATTGATATTTGTACTGACCTGACTCCCTTACAAGAAAGTAATAAAATTAAATATAAATACATACAAAGTTGTTATAATGCTGAGAGAGAACCTTTGACTTGTCTTTTCTTTTTGTGAGGTTATAACCACAAACTTCATTGTATTTTATTGGGATTTAATGTGGTAGATCAACACAAAGTAGATGTGACCATATGTTTATGGTCATTGTCCTGTTATAAGGTGTTATTTTGCATCAACTTTAAATGTTTTACGTCCTCAGTTTAGTCCAGGATTGACTTGTATTCAACTTTATCCCCAGACTATCGCACTACTAACATTGTTTTAGATATAAATGTATACGATAAGTCTGTTGGTCGGTTACTTGTCCCAACATGACAAAGTGAAACCGACTACATTCTACACTAGGTCAAAGCGTGACCAAGTCTGAAGCCGCCTCATGTGGGGTCTCTGCACATTGGTGAACGATGCCTCCCCAACCCCTTAAGATGCAGGCACCAAACAAAGAAGAACGTCCATAGGGTTTGGTGTTAGGTTTTTTTTTTTTTTTTTTTTTTTACAATATATATTTGTAAACGCTGTTCATTTTTTTGTTGGTCCTCTGTCAGAACACACAAACACCTTTTTTCTCTCCTCTGAATTCATTGGGCCTCATGCAAGAACCGTTTGTACAAACAAATTAGTTTGTACAATTTAAGATAAATTGCCACATTCACCATTTTTCTGCTATTTCTAATGTTCGCTCAGGTATGAACACTTTTTACAGGCTCTAGACTTGATGTAGGAGTCTTGCACAATCAATCAGCTATTATCCAAACCAAGTTTTTCATTAAATGACCAAATTTGTTTTTACTTAGAAGAAATGTTCCATTTTATTAGGTTACATCATTACACATTATTCAACTCTGCAATAATAAATTACTATTTTATTCACTGATGACAGAACTATCGGTCACTAAACCTGCGGCTGAAATGTCGGTATCCAAGGGACACTGGTTTAATTCTTTTTATTCTCATTAAAAGAAAGTGCAGTCAGCTCTATGTAGGAACGAGCTACTATTGAAATAACATGTGGAACAGAAAATGGATGAAAACTTAAGAATAAAGATCAGCAACTTGCTGCTTGAAACTTGTAATGGTAAGACCTGCATTTATTTATGCTATTTATATTTATTTATATTTATATTTCCTTTTTGGATTATTATATATATATTTTTAGTTAAATTTCACTGCATCACAGCTTTGTACATGAAATGTGGAATGTTTGGGTCAGTCTGAATTTGTTTAATTAGCGTATCTCCGTTAACATTTTCCTGTTTATGCATGAAATAGAGAGTGGGAGGAAGAGATGGTAGATGTGGTCTAGAGATGTACAGCACACCTGTGCACCTTTATTAAAGGTGTGGTGTTTGTTAAAGAACTGATATTAAGCATTTGCATCATATGTTCCACCTCTAGCCTCCACTAGTAGTTTTCATTGACAGTTTTTTTAGATCAAATGTTTTTTATTATTTTTTTTATTTTTACTTCTGTACAGTTTAACCACTTTATACACAGCTCATGTGATTGGATCTCTTGGATCCTTGAACCTATAACGTTTTTCAAATGCCATTTCAATGAATGAACACCTTCTGACAAGCGTGCAAAGTTGTAGCCCTCCTACTTATGGCATTATTTGTGAGGTAATTATGCAGATTCGTAGTTCTCATGAATGTGCACTCATTTAAGCTTCTTGTTTATGAGAATCATTTTCTGAAGTTAAGAACGTTTGTTAAATCTGATGTGGCGCATTCATAGAAGTCAACAGTAGGAGAAAAAGTAAGAGAAATTTCCAAAAATATGAAAAAGTTGCTTGAGGCCCAAAGTTTATATCCTACTTCTCCCTTCTTTCTTCTATCTTCTTTATCTGCATGGCAGTGCACCACCCACTGGTACGGCATAAGTATTTCAATGCCTATTATAACTTTGTCAGCTCTAGGCGATTTCATATATACACTTTAATTTTTTTTTCATGCGGATACCTTATTCCACTTTGTGTGGTTGTAGCCATAATCTCTCCTGATCAGATGAACTTCTACCAAATGCTGTTTCCCTTAGCATCTGGTAAAACCCAAATGAGAAAATATATGACTTTCTTTAACATTAGTGTTCTGCCTGTTGCTCTTATAAGGCAAACAAATGTACAAAGTGGAATTTCATTTAGTAACAGATTAATCGTTAAATCATTAAAACATGCCATATACACGTAGAATAGACTCACAGCGGTTATTGATCCAAATTGTTCAAATTACATACAAACATTTTACATTTAGGATTGAAAAAAAAAATGTTGTTGTTAATAAATATGCTTATACTAAATAATGCTTGATCTAAAATTCCTTTAATGGCACAAATTTAACTTCAATTGGTTCAGATTCTGGAGGGAAAAAAATCGTATATTTAGTATTCTGAAGCACCTTTTGCTGTCCCATTATTAATAGTCATATTGAAAAGAAATATAAAGAAAGTAATCGGTTAGCAAAATAACCATTAGTTGCAGGCATAAACTGAATCCAGCGCCTGAGTAATGCATCTCTGCAGCTCCTCCATAGGCCACTATTAGGATCGGTTGTTTGAATTCTCTCCTCTACTTGTATCCCCTTTTAAATACCCTTTCTCTTTGAGGTCTGTAAAGGTCTCTAGAAGCTGTTTGATTTCTAGCAAACCTTTGAACAAATCAAGGAACACTTGTAATAAGCTGGTTGGACTGGTGTTTATTTATGCATATCAGAGAACGATTGCTGAATACAAATGCAATGTACCCCTCTCAGAATTATAGGAAAATTGAATGTATTTATTTTCACTCTGAATTTTTGTGCTGCTTGATGTTGATCACATAATATCCCAATAGAGTTTACTGTTTGTGTTTATAAGGTGACAAAATGTAAAAAACAAATAAAAAGATGAATGTCTATTGATTCAATTCACTGTACACTAAAAACTACTTGAAGATGTTGAGTGATGGTGATTATCTCTAAAAAAGTTTTAGATTGTATTGAACCTCAAAATAATTTTCCCATTGCAAAGGTTTCTCACTGGACGGGGAACAAATCTGCTCATGAAGATATGGCTTTTATGGCTGTCTTCTAAAGTCCCCTCTGGTTTAAAGTAATTTTTAATGATCTCACTTTAAAGCATGTAAGAAGCGCAGATTTGAGCTGTTCAGATGGTCTGAGATTGAGCGCCAATGGTCTCAGCAATGCACAACTGACAGGAATATTATAAATCATGTAGATTATCGTGTTATAAATAATACCTTGCAAAATTCTTCCTGAATAAAAGGTGAAATGCCATCTGACAGTGCTGAATTTTGCTCTAATCTGTTTTTCCGTGCATGAGTCCTGCCCTACCGGCAGTATGCTGCACCGCATGATTGGTTGGACAATATAACTAGTTTCTTTATGTCAGATTCAGAAGAAAATCAAACAGCTGTATAAAAGAAAATCCATTCACAAATTTTGACTCTAAATTCCAATTTTCTGCTGATAAAAGACATTACATAAAGGACATACTGCAGGTCATTTATGAGTGAAACCTAATCCAGGCGTTACCAGTTTCTCCATCATGCTTTGAGTATTTTTTTATAGACTCTCGAATGAATAGAATCTTCACTGACTTGAAATGTAACTCACTGGCATTTTAGGTGATGTTTCTGCATTGTAGCTTAGAAACCAGACATAGTGTTAAAGCCGTAAGGAAGTCACATGCTACACTTTTCTGCACAGGTACAGCATTCTTTGCTCCAGATAATTAGGGTGTAAAGCAAGCTCTGTTTTTGATGGGGACTGTGAATTCTCTGGAGCATAACCCTGAAATAGCACAGCTATATTAATTTCTCTATTAAGCTACTTTAAGTGTTGCTGTTTTCTGCAAAACACTGCAGGTAAATACTCCATGATAAACCATGCTGTATTTTTAACCAAAGCCTGGTTTGAGTAGTTTTTTTATTAAAGCCAAACAGAAATATTTCTTAACTTTAATGTAGATTAATTTTAACAGTTTCCTTTGAATTTTTGTCAGTCCAAGAAAGCATGCTCTCTCTCAGCTTTTAAAACGACTTCCTCCATTGGACCATGAGTTGCCACTGAAACTCTGGAGCCACTGGATGCATTAAAAGCACATGTCACGGTCATCAGTTAAATTAACATTAAATCTATTTTTTCACCTTTGAAACATGCAGTCACTTATGTAAAGTGAAAACACTTTAAATGCATGAATGGTTTTTGTTTTTTTGCCCTTTTTTGTTTTGTTTCATTTTCCTAGTAGAATACAGTATGTTACAATGGTATGTGAACTGCTGTTTTTATCTATTTCATTTATGTTGATGACCTGAATCCATGCAACAAAACCATGCTGCTGAATGCAGTTGTAAATGGCTGAGTGATGGTGTGCTGTTTGTGTTGTGCTTATATGTCACATGAATGTTCTTTTGGTTTTTATGTGAAAGCATCATGTAAATAAATACTGTCAATAAGATGCAAAGGGATTCTCAAATGTACTGAAAAATAAATCTGAATGGAAGGGTGTCCTCTTCTTAAAAGCACAAATGTTTTTCCTTCATTTTCTTTATTGTGGGTTTATAATTTGGATGTAGTGTATATCTTTATCTAAATCTCTCTCCACAGTCAGAGAGAACTGAGTGAAAAGCAGACTGAGTCACAGCGTGTGGGCTGTTCTGCCAGAAAGAGACAGAAACTTGGATCTGAACTAGTCTTAATGATTTATGCAAGGAGTAAAGCTCCCTTTGTGTTTGCCCTGTTCCCGATATGTAAATATATCAGCAGTCAAATTTATCATATAAGCTCCAGGATATTATTTTCTTGCACAACAACCATCTTTTATTATAGTTATTATGAAATTCTTTATATTCAGTGCAATGCCAACAAATAGCACTCAACAGAGATGGCACAGAGGTCTTTCATAAAAACAATGCTCCATCCACATCTTTGTTCAGATAATACATTTTGTTAGTGTTTGGAAACGGATATGTATCTCGAGTAGCAGATCCCTCTCTGAAAAAGGTGTCATTGTCAGAATTTAAATCTATGTCACTTTGCCTCCAGTTTTAGTGTTTTTTTTTTTTTACTTCTTACCTTTTGCTTTTAAATTATATTTTGACCCAACAGCCCAAAATGCCACCAATTAGTTAAGGTATCAAAATAATAATTAATAATCATTATAATTAAACTTTATTGATCTAACATTGGGGAAATTTACCTCTGCATTTAACCCATCCACTTGGGCAATCTCTGGGCTCATTAACAGTAAAAACAAAACAAAAAAAAACGCTGCTTAACAATTAAATTTTATATTTTTATTATCTTTTTATGTCTGATTCTCAATAGTAAAGTTTTTGAAGCTAACTACAATCAAAATGGAAAAAAATAACAATTTAGGGGAAAAAAAATAAATAACAAAAGCCAGAAAATAACCAGACTCCTGGTTTCCTCATGGTAATTTGTTATATTTTTTTATGAAATGTAAAGTATTACATTTATTTTTATTTTGTCTAAGCAGTGTACAAACTTTGCAAAGACTAGGGTTTTATTATCAATTATTTTGAGGTAATAACATAAATCCGTAGAAATGTATTTGCTGTCGGTCCAAACATGAAGACTTGAGAGCTATTTTTTAGCTGAGCGTTATCAGGATATAAAGTCTGAAAAAAATTAGAAGCAGGTGTAAAAAAAGTGCAAGCTCTTCTTGCTATATATAACCCATTTTTATGTCCAATAAATCTTTGGCATTAAAGGCAAAGGCAATGTGTACCATTATTTTCTTTATAGATACTCTGCTTGGGCAAGAAATAGGTAGAATAGATATCTGATTCAACTGCCAATGGTATTTAAATAATAGTTCTGAAATAAATGCTAATGCTCACTGAGCCTGATTGAATGATCCATGCAGAATGTTACTGTCTGCTTAAAAGGGTCATAGAATGATTATATAGGGTATTTGGTGCTGGACCTTATGGTCTCTGAATAGGGTGTGTAACATTGCCTGGGCTGAAAATGGCATATTTGCTGTTCTATGAGCCCTAATCCCTGGTTATAAGCCCCAGATTGAGATGACAGGTTTTCTTCCTTATATGGTATGCTCATGAATATTTAGATGAGTTGTGCACTGATTGGTTGGTTTACAGTGAGCGAAGCTGCTGAGCAAAGATGCATCAGAACAACAAGCACTCACTCACTGAAACATCAAAGGTAGGGTGACCAAACGTCTTCTTTTTCCCCCAGACATGTCCTCATTTTCATACCTAAAAAAATCTCCGTGGGGAATTTCAAAATCATCCTGGATTTTGGTCTACTACACTACAGCACATAGTTGAAACAGGGAGACAGCGGGGGATGGAGCGACCGAACCCGGATGCCTGGACAACGGCGGCCTTGTGAATCATATCTTCTCTGGGTCCAGTCTAGTCAGCAGCCCAGCAGCCACCATGCTTAGAGCAAATGAACAGCTAAGCATCCAACTTTGCAGGGATCTTCTGATAGACAAAAATAATCCATGCATGTCAAGTCTTTGGATCCGTGGGAAGACTGTGAATAATGTCCCCTTTCTCCGTGCAGCCTGGAACACTGCATTTACGCCTGTGGTTCTGGCTCATTTTTAATAGAGAAACGGCCTGCTTTGTAATTCTTGTACAAGTAAACCCAACTGTAGGCTAAACAGCTAAACTGGTGTCTTACATCTACATCTATTCATGTTCTTGGGCCGTGAACCAGTGGGCTGGTCTGTATGTCAGTTTCGGGTCATGACAAAAGTACAGGCCAAAACCAAATAAGGCAATATCCCGAAGTGACATCAATTCGGTGCTTCGTTTGAATTCGCTTTAATGGTGGAAGTTTAGAATTGTGGGATTTGCAGAGAAAGGGGGTGTCGATGGGGTTTCTGTACGTCCATTGCACCCACTGAACTATCGTTATTCATCTCTGACAATGCGAACTCGGTTTTGCATTCTATGACCCCTTTAATTCTTCTTAGCTAGCATCATTAGCTCCAACCTACATCCTTGCCAGCCATATGGTAGCAGCCACTTAGAGAGTCCTCTCTGATTCACATATTAGCCAATAAGCCAATAAGATAAGCTTTGCAATGAGGTATTAAGAGTGTACGGGTGGGCTAAAAAAGTAGTGCTTATTTACCTGCATAAGAAGGGAAAGGAGAGCAGAAATGATCGGATACACACAAACACTGCATAATGAAAACTCTGAAAGCTCAAAATGTAAAATGCAAGTGCTAGAAAGTGAAAGTGCTAGAATGAACATTTTAATTGGGTATGCAATACAAGCTATACAAGGGTTGGACCTAAGGGGTTAAATGTTTTGAGATTTGAATGCAGAAATAAAAAAGAAAATGAGTTTA